AGTTATATATTCCTACACAGTGATGCCCCTGTATAATACTACGAGATCAGCACCCATGACACTATGCTGACTTAACTGTATTAGAGATAGGAGAATAGCATAAGTAGTAGTGCAAACCGGCAAACTTCGTCTTTATACAACTAACCGTCGTGTACGAACATAGTTTGTAATAAAGTCCATAATCTAAGAAATTGTTTTTTTAAAAAGTCTTCGCGCTCGGCAAAGCATAAAATTTGCATCTTTACTATCAACGATTAGTTCAGGTTAAGTAGCTGGTATGTCTTATAAAAATGCGCATAAAAGGAGAATGGATTAATTAGAGATATCAGTGGATAAAGATGGTCTGTACAAAATTTTCGTTGGTTTAACTAGAAAAATGTTTGAAACAATGGCGTTCTGTATTATTGGTGAATTTTGCTATAATGCCTTAAACAGTCAATATACCTAAGTGGATTTTATAAGATTTAATCTAAATAAAAAAGTCCTGAGTTTGGATTTTAGTAATTTTTCTCATGGAATATCAGGCGATATACAAAGCAAAAATTAAAAACACATTAATTGAATTAATTAGGAAATATTAAAAACATCTTTAAATAACAGTAAACAAACAATTGGGTTTTGTCAGCCTGCCAACGCCATTATTGTTATAAAAAAACAAATTACAAATTTGGTATACGATTGCTGTGTCATTTTCAGCTTATCACCCAAGTCCACGAGATAATTAAAAGCTTAAATTAATGATCGCGTCTGTTTAAGCTACTCATTCAATTGCAGTTTACAACTACCAATTTCTTTATCCCCATATCTGAAAAGTCTTCAGCTCAGATAAAGAGAAGGAACTGGCATCCCGAATCCGTAATGCAATGGATCCTAAAATTATAGACCCACATTTCTCGCGAGTAAAAGGCTTTTTATGTAGATAACGTTTACAACGGCGTAGTTTGCCGAAGGTCGATGTAACCCGTTTTTTCGCAAGCCTTCAACGTACAATTGTCGTCCATTTTTTCTTCTATTACTTAATACAATGTCGTATTTACTATTCATAAAAATTGCTTGCTGACTTACTGGGGTGTAAATGTCTTTTCAAACGAGCATACTTTTACTGTCGCATTTTTATTTAGCTCATAAAATGTTTGACGTTTTAACTTTAATTTGAAACCTCTCATAGCACTTCATGCCACAATATTCTGTAGAAAGCGTGTTACCTCATTTTAAAACGTATTATCTTTTTTCAATTTTATACATTACCATTTCTATTTGTGCGATTAGACATAGGATGTGTATTGCCTATGTTTTATTAGTGTTATATTTACCAATTTTACTGTTCATATAGAATATTGTTTGCTAGACTATATAAATCTATTCAAATGGATCATTATTTTGATTTTAATTTAAATAAGAAAACAAAACGAAACAAATCCTATTACAAACGGNNGGGGGGGGATTCTACAAAATATTTTCAAAAGAATCATTAACAATAATGGTAAAGCTAAATAACAAGGTAAACCCTAAGCAAGTTCACCCATTTCACGAATTCAAGATAATTGTGTTGTCATACATGGTTATTTCGCCTGAAATATTGAGTAGACCAAGCAAACATGTGGAAACGTGAAAACAATTTACCCAAAGTGATTTAATTACCGACTGGACTTATATCGCCTTATTTTTTAATAAAAAAACTAATTGTTATAAAATAAAAGCCCTCATTAACAATCCAAAATATGAGACATGAGGAAATTTTGTCTTTTTAAATCACAAATTTATTGAGAACCAAAATTTATTTTTGAGGAGAAATATCTAGCAAATACGTTTTGACAAAACAGTCAATTGTTGACTTTCGTTCAAAGATTTTGGTGGAGTTTTGAATCTGTGAACATTATAATTTTATGCTTCAGCAATAGCCAGGGTGTCTTGTCCATAATAATTTAGTCTACATGCATTCTAAATATTCGTGAAATTGTCCACTTTTCTCATAGTTAAATATAGCAACATTTCTGAAGCTGGATGCCCTTATAAAAATTTTGACCTGATGCTCATCAAGCAGTCAAATATTCAGGAATTCTCCTAGAGGTGCGGCAGAATTTGGCTGTAAATCCGTTCTCACATCTTTCCAAAAAGTCTATTTACAATGCTATTGAATAGCAAGTAATCGATCATTTTTACCTATCTGTCTTGGATCCGATGAATTACTCCTTTCGCAAGAATTTCCAAATATATTCGTTAATTTCCAAATATATCACAAATACTGATATAGACTTAAATATGCCGATCCGCGGCAATTCAAGCAACCCTCCATCGATTGCCAAAGTTTAGGGAAATGCTTTATAAGACTTATGCTTATGTAGGTATGAGGCAGTAGAAACATCATGTTCCTTCTATTGAATGTAGGCTGATATTTCATGCTTGGATCGCCAGGCGTTAGGCCACGACGTAAAACTCAATTAGACGACACTCAAAGCTTTTATGAACTCTGGTGTCCCACATACACAAAACAGAGATGTTCGGTATCACGGCGTCTAAAAGTGCCTCTTCTTCTTATGATGTTGGTGACCACGTTGGCCCATCTTATCCTATTCACTGCAGCTCAGAATAAATTAGTTTATGTTAGGCCAGTCAATTTTCTAACATTGGCCAGCCAGAATATACGACTGCTTCCAGGGCCTCACTTGCCCCCAATCTTGCCCTGTTGCATTAATTGTAGTTAATGTACCGACTACAACTCGGTACATTAAGTATAATGTGGCCAAACTAGGCCAGTTTTCTGTTCCTTGTATTATTAATTTCTTTGTGTTTTTGGATTCTCTCGAGAATCGTGATGTTAGTTGTATGGTATGTGTATGAGGTTGCTGTGCTCTAAGAGTTTGGTGGCAGCCTCGTTAAGATTCCAGCTATCTACTTCGTATAGCAGCACTAAAAACGAAGCATCGAAGAACTCTTATGTGTATGTCCATGTTAAGAGAGAGGTTACAAAGGACTTTCATAATGCGTTTAAAAACCCTCCTGGCTTTTTGAATTCGAGTTCTTATTTCATAACTATAGACCGGACGTATCACTGATTATGCTGCCCAGGCATATTTTCTCTTCTCTTTCCAATGGTGTATTCTTTACCGTAAATTGAGATTTTATGCTTATGTTCTTCCTGATAATCATTAATTTAGTCTTTTAAGAGTTTAGTTTAAGTCCGTATTCGTCGCTTGCTTCTAAAGAATTATCTATCAATCTCTGAAGACCCTCCGCATCATCTGCCAGTAGTACTT